TCGGGGACACACACACACTCGGGGACACACACACACACACTCGGGGACACACACACACACACACACACACACTCGGGGACACACACACACACTCGGGGACACACACACACAATCGGACACACACACACACACACACTCGGACGGACACACACACTCGGACGGACACACACACTCGGACGGACACACACACTCGGACGGGGACACACACTCGGACACACACTCTCACTGACCTCTGCACTGAAGTATTTGGCCATGCAGGCCTCTTTGATGAAGGGTCTTCCGGCCTCCTTCAGTCTCGCCGCGTTGTAGGTCAGCAGTCGAGCGGCTTCGAGCTGCGTGGCCACATGAGCGATCTGATGCTGCAGACCCTGCCACACAACACAACACAACATTACACACACACACACACACACACACACACACACACACACACACACACACACAAGCTGCGTGGCCACATGAGCGATCTGATGCTGCAGACCCTGCCACCCAACACAACACAACATTACACACACACACAAGCTGCGTGGCCACATGAGCGATCTGATGCTGCAGACCCTGCCACACAACACAACACAACATTACACACACACACACACACACAAGCTGCGTGGCCACATGAGCGATCTGATGCTGCAGACCCTGCCACACAACACAACACAACATTACACACACACACACACACACACACAAGCTGCGTGGCCACATGAGCGATCTGATGCTGCAGACCCTGCCACACAACACAACACAACATTACACACACACACAAGCTGCGTGGCCACATGAGCGATCTGATGCTGCAGACCCTGCCACACAACACAACACAACATTACACACACACACACACACACAAGCTGCGTGGCCACATGAGCGATCTGATGCTGCAGACCCTGCCACACAACACAACACAACATTACACACACACACACACACACACACAAGCTGCGTGGCCACATGAGCGATCTGATGCTGCAGACCCTGCCACACAACACAACACAACATTACACACACACACACACACAAGCTGCGTGGCCACATGAGCGATCTGATGCTGCAGACCCTGCCACACAACACAACACAACATTACACACACACACACACACAAGCTGCGTGGCCACATGAGCGATCTGATGCTGCAGACCCTGCCACACAACACAACACAACATTACACACACACACACACACACAAGCTGCGTGGCCACATGAGCGATCTGATGCTGCAGACCCTGCCACACAACACAACACAACATTACACACACACACACACACACACACACAAGCTGCGTGGCCACATGAGCGATCTGATGCTGCAGACCCTGCCACACAACACAACACAACATTACACACACACACACACACACACACACAAGCTGCGTGGCCACATGAGCGATCTGATGCTGCAGACCCTGCCACACAACACAACACAACATTACACACACACACACACACAAGCTGCGTGGCCACATGAGCGATCTGATGCTGCAGACCCTGCCACACAACACAACACAACATTACACACACACACACACACAAGCTGCGTGGCCACATGAGCGATCTGATGCTGCAGACCCTGCCACACAACACAACACAACATTACACACACACACACACACACAAGCTGCGTGGCCACATGAGCGATCTGATGCTGCAGACCCTGCCACACAACACAACACAACATTACACACACACACACACACACACACACAAGCTGCGTGGCCACATGAGCGATCTGATGCTGCAGACCCTGCCACACAACACAACACAACATTACACACACACACACACACACACAAGCTGCGTGGCCACATGAGCGATCTGATGCTGCAGACCCTGCCACACAACACAACACAACATTACACACACACACACACACACAAGCTGCGTGGCCACATGAGCGATCTGATGCTGCAGACCCTGCCACACAACACAACACAACATTACACACACACACACACAAGCTGCGTGGCCACATGAGCGATCTGATGCTGCAGACCCTGCCACACAACACAACACAACATTACACACACACACACACACACAAGCTGCGTGGCCACATGAGCGATCTGATGCTGCAGACCCTGCCACACAACACAACACAACATTACACACACACACACACACACAAGCTGCGTGGCCACATGAGCGATCTGATGCTGCAGACCCTGCCACACAACACAACACAACATTACACACACACACACACACACACACAAGCTCCGTGGCCACATGAGCGATCTGATGCTGCAGACCCTGCCACACAACACAACACAACATTACACACACACACACACACACACACAAGCTCCGTGGCCACATGAGCGATCTGATGCTGCAGACCCTGCCACACAACACAACACAACATTACACACACACACACACACACACACAAGCTCCGTGGCCACATGAGCGATCTGATGCTGCAGACCCTGCCACACAACACAACACAACATTACACACACACACACACACACAAGCTGCGTGGCCACATGAGCGATCTGATGCTGCAGACCCTGCCACACAACACAACACAACATTACACACACACACACACACACACAAGCTGCGTGGCCACATGAGCGATCTGATGCTGCAGACCCTGCCACACAACACAACACAACATTACACACACACACACACACACACAAGCTGCGTGGCCACATGAGCGATCTGATGCTGCAGACCCTGCCACACAACACAACACAACATTACACACACACACACACACACACAAGCTGCGTGGCCACATGAGCGATCTGATGCTGCAGACCCTGCCACACAACACAACACAACATTACACACACACACACACACACACACAAGCTGCGTGGCCACATGAGCGATCTGATGCTGCAGACCCTGCCACACAACACAACACAACATTACACACACACACACACACACAAGCTGCGTGGCCACATGAGCGATCTGATGCTGCAGACCCTGCCACACAACACAACACAACATTACACACACACACACACACACACAAGCTGCGTGGCCACATGAGCGATCTGATGCTGCAGACCCTGCCACACAACACAACACAACATTACACACACACACACACACACACACAAGCTCCGTGGCCACATGAGCGATCTGATGCTGCAGACCCTGCCACACAACACAACACAACATTACACACACACACACACACACACAAGCTGCGTGGCCACATGAGCGATCTGATGCTGCAGACCCTGCCACACAACACAACACAACATTACACACACACACACACACACAAGCTGCGTGGCCACATGAGCGATCTGATGCTGCAGACCCTGCCACACAAAACAACATTACACACACACACACACACAAGCTGCGTGGCCACATGAGCGATCTGATGCTGCAGACCCTGCCACACAACACAACACAACATTACACACACACACACACACACACACACACACAAGCTCCGTGGCCACATGAGCGATCTGATGCTGCAGACCCTGCCACACAACACAACACAACATTACACACACACACACACACACAAGCTCCGTGGCCACATGAGCGATCTGATGCTGCAGACCCTGCCACACAACACAACATTACACACACACACACACACACACACACAAGCTGCGTGGCCACATGAGCGATCTGATGCTGTAGACCCTGCCACACAACACAACATTACACACACACACACACACACACACACACACACACACAAGCTGCGTGGCCACATGAGCGATCTGATGCTGCAGACCCTGCCACCCAACACAACATTACACACACACACACACACACACAAGCTGCGTGGCCACATGAGCGATCTGATGCTACAGACCCTGCCACACAACACAACACAACATTACACACACACACACACACACACACACACAAGCTCCGTGGCCACATGAGCGATCTGATGCTGTAGACCCTGCCACACAACACAACATTACACACACACACACACACACACAAGCTGCGTGGCCACATGAGCGATCTGATGCTGTAGACCCTGCCACACAACACAACATTACACACACACACACACACACACAAGCTGCGTGGCCACATGAGCGATCTGATGCTACAGACCCTGCCACACAACACAACATTACACACACACACACACACACACACACACAAGCTCCGTGGCCACATGAGCGATCTGATGCTGCAGACCCTGCCACACAACACAACATTACACACACACACACACACACACACACACACACACAAGCTGCGTGGCCACATGAGCGATCTGATGCTGCAGACCCAGCCACCCAACACAACATTACACACACACACACACACACACAAGCTGCGTGGCCACATGAGCGATCTGATGCTGCAGACCCTGCCACCCAACACAACATTACACACACACACACACACACAAGCTGCGTGGCCACATGAGCGATCTGATGCTGTAGACCCTGCCACCCAACACAACATTACACACACACACACACACACACACACACACACACACACAAGCTGCGTGGCCACATGAGCGATCTGATGCTGCAGACCCTGCCACCCAACACAACATTACACACACACACACACACACACACACAAGCTGCGTGGCCACATGAACGATCTGATGCTGCAGACCCTGCCACCCAACACAACATTACACACACACACACACACACACACACACACACACACACACACACACAAGCTGCGTGGCCACATGAGCGATCTGATGCTGCAGACCCAGCCACCCAACACAACATTACACACACACACACACACACACAAGCTGCGTGGCCACATGAGCGATCTGATGCTGCAGACCCTGCCACCCAACACAACATTACACACACACACACACACACAAGCTGCGTGGCCACATGAGCGATCTGATGCTGTAGACCCTGCCACCCAACACAACATTACACACACACACACACACACACACACACACACAAGCTGCGTGGCCACATGAGCGATCTGATGCTGCAGACCCTGCCACCCAACACAACATTACACACACACACACACACACACACACAAGCTGCGTGGCCACATGAACGATCTGATGCTGCAGACCCTGCCACCCAACACAACATTACACACACACACACACACACACACACACACACACACAAGCTGCGTGGCCACATGAGCGATCTGATGCTGCAGACCCTGCCACACAACACAACATTACACACACACACACACACACACACACACAGACACACACACACACACACACACACAGACACACACACACACACACACACACAAGCTGCGTGGCCACATGAGCGATCTGATGCTGCAGACCCTGCCACACAACACATTACACACACACACACACACACGTGATGGCATGTGAAGTACCTGGAAGTCAAAGACGCGTTTGCCGAACTGAACCCTCTGCCTGGTGTAGGGAACCGCGTGATCGAAGCAGCCCTGAGCCAGACCCAGCATCTGAAACACATGAGACCCGTGAGACCGGCCTTCATCCTCACACACACACACACACACACACACACACACACACACACACACACACACACACACACACTCACACACCTGTGCTGCGATCCCGATCCGGCCCTCATTCAACATACCAATGGCGTATTTATAACCGTGACCGACTTTCCCCAAAACATTCTTCTGGTGAACCTGCAGACGAAGCACATCGTCAGTACATGCAAACACCCGGTAATGTGGTGAGATGATGCGGTGATGATGCGGTGAGGTGATGATGCGGTGAGGTGATGATGATGATGATGATGATGATGTGAGATGAACAGGCTTCACCTTCATGTTGTCGAATGTGAGAGGGCATGTGGACGAGGCTCTCAGTCCCAGTTTATTCTCCTTCCTCCCGATGTGGAGCCCGTCCGTGTCTCTGTCCACGAGGAAGCAGGTGATGCCTCTGTAGCCCTGCACACACACCTTTCATTAAATAACACATTCAATTGTGGTTTGTTTTTCACCAAACCCTACCGTAATCCTGCAGAACACTCGGACACACACGACACACACGCGTCACAGCGGATCGTTCTGTGATACTTGTGTCTTTTTTCAAAGCTTGAGGCTGGTCACTATTCACTGCCATTACATGGATGAGTGCGAGCCACGTGTGTGACGTCACTTACAGCTACGTGTGTGTGTGTGTGTGTGTGTGTGTGTGTGCGCGTGTGAGTGTGTCTGTGTGTGTTAGAGAGAAAGTGTGAGTGTGCATTTAAGAGAGTGTGTGTGTGTGTGTTTGTGTGAGAGTGTTAGAGAGTGTGTTAGGGCTGTTGGAACGAATTCCGAGATTCTAATATAATTCGAATATTTAAAAAATCAATACTATTCGAATGCTGAAGTTACTATTCGAATATTGTTTTTTTAATGTATATTTTAATTTTTTTATATATATATAAACAGGAAAGAGGCCGCACTATGCATAAATTGTTTTATTTGCACAAACGCGTTTCGGCGCGTGCCTTGTGCAAATAAAACAATTTATGCATAGTGCGGCCTCTTTCCTGTTTAACGTTATATATTCTAATCATCAGGCCAGCATTCTTAAAGTTTAAGTTTAATCATTGAGTGAAGCCTGCTCCTATTCCCATTCATTAATTTTTTTATATGCAATCTTGCCTTTCTCGCCACCTTGGCTTACACACATGTGAAAATGAAATGCTTTTGTTTCGTCAGATGAACAATAACGTTTTTGAATCGTAACAATTGTGCACGTTATCCACGCTGTATCATCATAACAATACTGTCAAAAATGGTAAATGTTTAACAACGTAAAAAACGCCCGTGAAGTGCAAATATCTCGGTGAAAACTCAACGGATTCGGCGAGCACCAAACTCGTTGGAACCGTCTAGTCGAACTGAAAAGAACGATATAAGTTTCAGAATGTGTGGTGGTGTTTTAGCGGAGATATTAGCCGAAAACCATCGGTAGCGCTGCAACCATATTCAGCACCAATAAAATGTTTATTGTAATGTTAGATATCCCTCTAGTGGACAGAACGTGTAACAACAACCACATGCTATAGTGGCATTGGCGATCCATAAGCCTGAGTAATGTCGTAAATATTAATAATAGGATGAATTTGAACATTTAATATTAGAATATTATTCGAATATTAAATAAAATAAGGAATGGAATTCGAATAGTATTATAGAGGAAGATTGACAGCCCTAGAGTGTGTGTGTAAGTGAATGTGAGTGTGCGCGTGTTAGAGAGTGTGTGTGTAAGTGAAAGTGTGTGTGCGCGTGTTAGAGAGTGTGTGTTAGAGAGAAAGTGTGTGTGTGCATTTAAGAGAGTGTGTGTGTGTGTTTGTGTGAGAGTGTTAGAGTGTGTGTGTAAGTGAATGTGTGTGCGCGCGTGTTAGAGAGTGTGTGTGTACGAACTGCGGCGGGTTCAGCGTTGGCCATGACCAGAAACACTCCAGCATGTTCTGCGTTACTGATCCACATCTTGGAGCCGTTGATGATGTAATAATCGTTGTGTTTCTCGGCTTTAGTCTTCAGAGAGAAAGCGTCGCTGCCCGACTCCGACTCCGACAGGCAGAAGCTGCCGAC